AAACCTCTTTAACACAGAACTCACATGCCACAGTTCGCTTTTACTGACACATGACACAGCCACTCTGACACAGCCTTTCTGACCCGATTTACACGACACTCGAACCATATGCCACGAATAAAATCCTCCCCGACATTTCACGACTTGCCCACAGACGGCCACCCGATGCATCATGACACGCGACACCCATCTGACACACACACACAATGCAGGTGTCACGGGCCATGAGGAGGAGTTTATGACACGGGTCGTTCACAAACAGATGGTGAGGGGTGGGGAGGGGGGTGGTGAGGGGAGGGGTGGGAGGGGAGGTGAGGGGAGGTAGGTCTGATTTACGAGTAAGGAGAGTGACGTATAGTACAAGTCTGAACACGGTGGGGCATGACAGGGCTATCCCAGGGGAGGGGGGTGAGGAGGGGTGAGGGGAAGGGAGGGAGGGGGCAGGAGGGTGGGGTGATAGAGGGGTGGTGGGGTTAGGTAGGTTGTTTTGTGAGGTACACGATCGAGTTACATACTGTAATGTGAAAGAGCATACACACACACACACACACACACACACACACACACACACACACACACACACATTAATTTTTATGCCTCAACAATGATAACAACAAAAATATAGTCACTTTACATTAAAAAAAACTACTAAACAAAAATATGATAAAAACTTTCCCCCAAATTAAAATCAACACAAATTTTTAAAGAGCTGAGAGGATGAAATAATAAATGCATAAAAAAGTTTGAGTTTTACTTTTGTTCAGCTTTTTTTTTTTTGAGAGAGAAACAAATTATCAGTGGTCGGTTTAGATAGGAACTCTCTCTCTCTCTCTCTCTCTAGCCTAGGTTAGGTTAGGTTGTGTGTTGTTGTGCGAGGTCTTAATTTACGATGTTATCATTGAACAAAGATTTACACCAGCGAGGAGCCTTTACACCTTCCTGGGGATAAAATATGTTCCTGTGAGGTAACGTGGGTACGACCGTTCACCCCTATTGTGCTCACTGTACGTCCTGGGAAAAGAATATTGAAACAGAATATTCGTTTCCCAGGAAGTACAGAACATTACTTCTTTTACTGTATATAAATTTCACAGAACGAAATAAAAACAATCTACAGGCCATACTAAGGAGAACTCTAGTAAAAACATGATAAGTTAGTTCATGAAATAATCAATCATTTGTGTCTGAGATCGACGTTGTTCTACCTGGGAAAAGAGAGGCAGACTCCACCAGGTGCTGGATGTGATGCTGTCAAGTCAACTCACCCGTCTCCCCCTCACCCTTGGATACCATCACACGCCACGACTAAACACACCGCCCCACCATCACCTGTCTCAATTAAATCTTATATGACGTGTATGTCAAATGCCGATAAACGGGAGGAGGAAGCCTTGGTGCCTAAACGCGTCTCTCCAACCACCCGACGCACCGAGCCCTCCTCCTCCTCCCGGATGTGAACGAGGGACGCCATCACTGGTGACTTAATGTTATTGTTTACATTAATTATTCCCCAATACCAATATTATATGCAAACGACCGAGGCTAGGTGACAAGGGGAGGCTATCAAGCGAGAGTTAATTACTATCCCTGCAGGTGAAAAGAGAGTTAGGTGAAGGTGATAAGGTGAGTAATGGAGGGGGGGACGGACCAGGTGACAGGTGGTGATGGGCTTCAGGAGAGGCAAGTGAAGGATGGGGCGTGTGACCAGGAGGTACCGATAATTGTGTGGTGCTGGAACCTTACCTCACTTATTCACCTGCCACCTACAACATCTCCCTCTTCCCTCCTTTTCTCTCTTCTCTTTTCTCCTCCCTTTTCTCTCTCATTCTACCCCATCTCTCCCCTCTTTCTCCTTCCTCTCTCCCTCTCCCATCCCATCCCCACTCTGTCCCATTAACTCACCCTCTCTCCCTCTCATTATTTTTATTTTCTCCTTCCTTTCCTCACTCATTCTATCTCTTCTTCTTCTACTTCCTTTCCTTTCACGCCCTTAGACATTTCCTCTCTCAACGCTCTTTCCGTCTTATTCACACACACACACACACACACACACACACACACACACACACGTACCCCAAACACAGGTACACCCCAACAGGCACCTCTACTCCAACAAAGGCTCTTTCCACCCCCTCCCCCAACACGTACCCACAAGAGACAAGGAGGAGGGGAAGGGAGGGGAGGGGAGGGGAGAGTCACCATCGAGGGGGAGAATTATAACACCCATTTATACTAAGATTTTTCACCCACTGCTTAAAGAACTGTCAGCGTGAAGGTAAGGTGCTGGGAATTTAAACTACCGGGGCTTTAACTACCGGGTCCGGGGCTTCATCTACCGGGCCTTAACTACCAGGGCTTCATTTACCGACGATCTGAACTACCGGGGCTTAATCTACCGATCTTAACTACCGGGAGAGGTTACATGGTCTCCACGAGTTCAGCGGAAACACCAGAGATCTTTTGACCGTCAAGGGTACTTCAAGACGGGGAGAGATAAGCTAAGGAGTTGAGGGGAGAGGAGGGAGGGATGGAAGGGGGGAGGAGAGAGGGATAGAGAAGAGAGGAGGAGAGGGGTGAGGACAGAGGGAGGTGAGATGGGGATGAAGGGATGAGAGGGAAGAGGAGGTGGTGGGACATTGAGGATGGGATGGGGAGGGGTGAGGAAGGATGGGACAGGGAAGGAATGGGATGATGGAATGGGAGAAGAAGGGAAGAAAGGAGAGGGAGAGAAGAGGGGAGGAGGAGGGGGGTAAAGGATGTGCATATTATATAAATTATGCAAATCAGAAAACCACCAATTGAGTTAACTTCAAAAGCCACATCTTGGGATCATGGGCGAGAGAGAGAGAGAGAGAGAGAGAGAGAGAGAGAGAGAGAGAGAGAGAGAGAGAGAGAGAGAGAGAGAGAGAGAGAGTCCTTGTGATAGGGAACAGCTGATATCACCCCTCGGCCCCTTCCCTGATCCCTCCCACCCCTCCCCTAACCCCTGCTCGCCCCCCTAAAAACACAGGAAATTCGCCAGGGTAGAAATAAATATCCCGCCTGAGAATGAATGAATTTTACCGAGTTTGAGACAGGGTCGAGGTGGGTGGCTGGTGTGGGTGGCTGGTGTGGGTGGTGGGTGGCGGTGGGACGGTGGTGTGTGGGTGGTGGAGGGAGAGATTCCTAGAGCTGCTTTGCATATAGTTAAGAAAGAATGTAGGAGAGAGAAGAGAGAGAGAGAGAGAGAGAGAGAGAGAGAGAGAGAGAGAGAGAGGCTGGTGGTTTAAAGAGAGGCTTAGCCCCCAAGAGAGGAAAACCACACACACACTTTAAGGGTGACCAAAACTTTCAAGCAAGGGGTCACCATCTCATTATAACTTGACTCCCGCAAGGATGACCCACACCCTCCCTCCCTCCCCTCCCTCCACCCACCCCCTCCCTCCCTCCCTCCTCCTCCTCCCCCATCACTATAAAGTTCACCCAAAATCGGTACGTAAAAGTTTCAAGCATTTATTCTCGTCTCAGTGAAGCCAAGATGGAGAGACAACAGGAGGGAGTTTCCATCACATTAAGAGTCCCGTTCCATCTATGTATTCCCACACCCTGTTCCATCTTCTGGCTAAGACTGTTTGCATGCATGAGTTTTATTTTATTGTCTTAAGATATACAGATGTTACTAGTACACACACACACACACACACACACACACACACACACACACACACACACACACACACACACACACACACACACACACACACACACACACACACACACACATACAAATCAACCTCCCCCAAACTTATCCTCCATCTACGTATAACCAACACCGGCTCCCTCCCTACATAACCCTACACCCCTTTCTCCATCTATGTATATCGAGACTACTGGCCTGTCCATCTCGGGAGGGAGGGAGAAGCAGGGAAGGAGGGGAGAGGGAGAGAGAAGGAGGGAGGAGGGACAGAGAGGGAAAGAGGGTGGAGGGAGGAGGAGGAAATAAAAAATAAACAAATAAATAAATAAATAAATAAAGAAAGAAAGAAAGAGAGGGAGAAAGAGAAGGAGAGACACCAGATTAACGAGATGTAATTTGGCAAGAAGTATATTTATTCCGAAATAACCTCCTCTGGCTACAGCGGGGTGACTGACAGGTGGGGGTGAGGGAAGGAGGTAACAAAAAATAAGAGGGAGGAGGAGGGAGAGGGAGAGATGGAAGGACGGAGGGAGGGGAGAGAGAGAGGAGAGGGAGGGAGCGATGTAGGCAGGACAGAGAGAGAGAGAGAGAGAGAGGAGAGAGAGAGAGGAGAGAGGTGGGGTGAAGGATCCACTGGGGTCAGCAGGGTGTGGGGTGGGTCGTTGGAGGAGTGGATGGGTCGTTGGAGGAGGGCGGCGGTCTTAGGAGGGGTCGTGGGATCTAAGAGGGTCGGGCGATCTAGGAGGGTCCGGGGGTGAGGCGTGAGGGCAGGAACAGCTGAGACATCACTTGGGCTGTCTACCACTGTCGTGGCCCCCGCCCCCCCCACCCTACCTTCCCTCACCACGCCCCCTACTCCCTGCCTTCTGCTCTCACCATGCTCTTCCCCTCACCACGCCCCTCCACCCTTACCTTCCCCCTCACCACGCCCCCTCACCCCACTTCCCCAACACGCACCCTACCCCTACTTTCCTCTCACCATGCCCCTTTAACCTTACCACGCCCTCACCCCTACTTTCCCCCCTCACCACGCCCCCCACCCCTACCTTCCTCCTCACCACGCTCCTTCCCCTCACCACGCCCCCCATCCCCACCCTCTTCCCCACCACGCCCCCCCACCTCACTTTCCCCCACCACGCCCCCCACTCCTACCTTCCCTCACCACGCTCCCCACTCCTCCTCCTCACCCAGGCCTCTACCCATCTCAACCTTTTCTACTTTCCCTCACCAATTACCCCCCACCCCCCACACCCAACAATCCATTCCCACACACCTCCTCTCTCACCTCTCACACCCCCACTACTTGTCACTCAATATCCCTCTCACCCTCCACTCCCTCCCACTCACCCAACCCTCCCATCCAACCCCCCTACTCATGGCTGCACAAGACAATCCATAAGTGTACACAGACCCTTGATAGAGTATGTGTGTGTGTGTGTGTGTGTGTGTGTGTGTGTGTGTGTGTGTGTGTGTGACGTAACAATGTACACTCGTCCATAATCGTTGTTTTCGTTTTATCGTGTAGCCACGACGTCATCCCTACATCAGCTGTTTGTTGTTTATGTTTTTATTAATCGTTTATTTATTTTTCCCGTGGTTGATGACGTCACTACTACTTCACCCTTTGTTTATTTATCATCTCAGCTGTTCTTGTAGATGATGACGTCACATATCAGCTGTTAATATAGTTTGTTTATCACCTCAGCTGTTCTTATAAATGACATAGCAGCTGTTTATATTTTATCATCTCAGCTGTTCTTGCACATGACGTCACATATCAGCTGTTAATAATATATTCATGAACCAGTACGTATGTTTAATAGACCCCAAGACGTCACCTGTAGACCATCACTTAATATGTTTACCTTGATGAATCAGCCGAGTCGTTGTGATAGATGGTAACGCAACCTTGCCTCTAATAGTTTAATGAATCCCTCTATCACAGGTTGGCGTTTTTTGAAGCAGTGACGTCATGTGTTTGCGTCATCTCTGCATGTTTATTGGTTCTGCCGTTTTTTTTAGTCCTGAAAAGGTAGCTCTCTCTCTCTCTCTCTCTCTCTCTCTCGCTGTCTCTCTCTTCTAGGCTCCCTTTCTCTCGCTGTTTTCTTCTAGGCCCTCTCTCTCTAGCTTCTCTCTAGCCTCTCTCTCTAGCCTCTCTCTCTCTCTCTCTCTCTCTCACTGTAGCTTCTCTCTCTCTCACTGTCTCTCTTCCCTGTATCTCCCCACACACACATCTCTCCCCACTCTCCATCTTTCCTTTCTCCCCAATACCAACTGTCTCCCTTCCCTCCTGTTTTTTTCCTGCCCACTCACACCTGTCTCCTCAAGCCTCTCCTTCCCTCTCATCTCTCTACCTCTCCCCACTCCCTCTCTCTCCCTCTCTCTACACTTTTTCCTACCCATACACCCCTCTCCTCACACCCCCCTCCCCTCACACCCTCTACCACTCCCTCATCCCTCACACTCTCCCCTCCTTCCCCCCCCTCCCTCTCCATCTCTCCCTAGCCGTGATGGAGGAGCCCTGAGTCTTTCTGACGCAAAAAAAAAAAATACCGAAAAAATGAAATATCACCAAATTATTTTTTCTGTTATGTATTTTAGTCCCCCCCCCACACACACACAGGTATGGTGACCAGGTATGATAACTGTTAACACGTGTATTCCAAGCTCTGTCTGTCTGTCTGTCTCTGTCTGTGTCTGTCCGTAACAACTACCGTACTAAAAAACAACAACAAACAAGCAAAAACAAGAATAACAACAAAACAAACAATAACAAAACGACAAAATAATAACAAGAATAACAACAGAACCGAGTGCCCCAGACAGTCACACAGGTGCCAACAGGCCAGGTAGGAGAGCCACGGTGACATACATATTACTCGGGCTTCACTGCCTGCCTCCCCCACCACCACTACACTGCTACTATTGTACTTTATGTCACTCGTGTTCAATCCTAATGGCCTCTACACTTAACTACCTTCCACTCTATCAGGATTGGGATTTATTAGAAGCGACCCCATTAGGTTTGAGGTCACTAGGATGAAGAGCCATTAGGGTGAGAGCCAATTAGGGTTGATCCCATTAGGATTTCGGTTCCATTTAGACTGGGACCTATTACAATTGGAGCCTATTGTAATTGAGGCCTATTAAAACTGGGGACTATTATAATTGGGGTTTAATATAGTTTGAGCCTATTTATAATTGGGGCTATCATAATTGCGGCCTATTATAAGAGGCTCATTTAGATTAGATTATTAAAACAATAATTAAAACAAAAACAAAGGAGACAACAACAAGGAAACAAAAACAAAACTAAAATAAAACTATCAGCCTTAGACATCAACGACGCAATAAATTCAACAATAAACCATAAGTAACCATAACAGAGAGAGAAACAAAAGACAATCTACACGTCACATCAAAGAGGGCGCCACGTACCACCAAAAAAAAAATAAGTCGAATCTTTATCTACCAACTCATAAACTCAACAACAACACCAAAAACAATAAATGAAACAACAAAATAATCTATAACACGAATAAAAATAAAACAAAAGACAATCAAGATCCCATATCCCCCTAAATAAAGAAAGGTTTCCCATCCTATACACGCGTCTCCTTTACCTTATACAATAACAAAAGACGATCGGATCCACTCTATGCGGGAATTCTCGTGGTAGCCAACATCGAACCCTTTGAATATGTGATAAAAGTCACTATCATCAAAGAGGATCAGATCCACCTTACTCGGGGGAGGCAGGGAGAGATAGGGGAAGGGAGAGAAAGGGAGGATGAGAAGGGAAGGGAGAGGGGGTGAGCCTAGACAATCCCCCTCACGAAGCATTGAATCTAAATGTACAATGAAGGGAGTTGGAATCCTTTTTACGCTTCTCTGGCTTATCTCATGGGATCTGGTCCTGCTGTGGGGGGAGAGGGGTGATATTTATATTCTCTTGTCTCTTGAGGTGGAGGGGGAGGAGGAAGTATGTGGAGAGGGGAGGAGGAAGTTATGTGGAAGGGAGAGGGAAGTATGTGGAGGGGAAGGAGGGAAAGAGAAGTATGAGGGTGATGAGGGAGTATGTTGGTAGAGAAGGAAGTATGTGGAGGGAGAGAGGGGAGAATGTGGAGGTAGCGAGGGAAGAATGTGGAGGAGGAAGAGGAAGCATGTGGTCAGATCACATTAGACTTAAGTTGGGTTAGGTTAGATCAGGTCAGGTCAGGTCAGGTCAGGTTAAGGTCAGGTTAAATTAATACGTAATATATGTATCTATGTATGTTATGTATGTATACTCTCTCTTCTCATCAGTCTCTTTTATACATAATATAAATAAACCAGATTCCTTATAAGTGAAATTCTGGGACTAAATTCTCAGAGTCTTACGTGAGTTATTCCTCCATATGAAGACCCGAAAAAGACCACCTCCATCTCACCTAATCTGTCACAAACACCTTGACTAGATTGACGTCCAAATTACACTTAAGAAACTCCTGTCGTGTGTGGGTAGATGAAACACCGTAAGTAGTTGAGGAATCTACATGATGTTAAAGGGGGCGATGGGATTTATTAACCTAACTTAACCTAACCTAACTTAACTTAACCTAACCTAACCTAACTTAACCTAATCTAACCTAACATTATCTAACTTAACCCTACCTGACATGATCTTAACCTAACCTAACCTATACTAACATAAATTACTGAAAACATAAAGTCTTTCTATGGCACACACACACACACACACACACACACACACACACACACACACGCACACACACACACACACACACACACACACACACACACACACACACACACACACCTCGAGATATCAACATCACCAAGCGTTTTTTCCCCCACCTTACACCGACTCCTAAGTAGAAGCTAAGCGCCAGACGACCGTGTGCCAGGCTCCTGTATATACTAACCTTTTACCTTCACTGGCGATCTATTCATGATAAGAACATAAGTGAACATCCTCCGCTCGGGCCTCTCCCTCCTGAAGGCACTGACGGAGGAACTTCCATTACACTCTACGGAAAACTACGCCAAACGATCTTTCGCCCTTACGTCTTACACCTGCAGTGGCGTTTATGGTACGAACATAAGACCCAGCAGCCCTTAGATGACACCCCCCCTCCCCATCCCTCCTGAAGGCGCTGAAGCAGGGAACCTCCTTCACGCTGCTCTGCCTCCCAACATTTAACACCACCGACGGAAGATTGAAAATTGGTCTTACATTTTATTTTTCATTAGCGGACGGACGAGACTCAATCCTCTTACCGGCACCCACCACCATCAACATCACCACCACCACCACCACCGTCACCACAACCATCATCACCACCACCACCGGCACCCACCACCGTCAACATCACCACCACCACCACCGTCACCACAACCATCATCACTACCACCATCGTCGTCACCACAACTATCATCATCACCTACACCACCAGCATCACCATCATCATCACCACCTCCACCATCGCCACAACCTCCTCCGTCGCAACAACCATCACCGTCACCACAACCATCACCACTACCACCATCAACCGTCGTCATCACCACTACACCAACACCGTCACCACTACCACCATCATCACCACCATCACCACCACCACCACC